GGGGGTGGATTGTTCTTTTAAACAACTGAGTGGTTGTAGGAATTAACAGAAAGCAAAGTACTGTTACTAATACAATAGCGCGGTCAAAAATTGGTGGCGCAACGCACTGTCAATTAATACTCTAAAGTATCCAACATAGACTCTCCTGACAAAACGATTGTATCAATTTGTCTTAACCTATCGATATTTTTGTAAACACATGTAATCTGTATTATAGAAAATCTCCTTCATAAATACTTTTTAAAAGCCCAAGTGGGTGGTTTCTACAGATTTTGAAATATTTACAACTGGGGCAATATCGCTTTTAAAAGCAAGCCCATCATGTTTTTCTAATCGTGAGACTATCTTTATTGACCGTATGTTTTGAGAACCTTTAGGGCCAAAAAAAATGTTCACTACAAAAACAATTTCTTGTAATTGGTAAGAAATTTTGCAATAAAAAGTGTCATTAGTGAACTGTGACGTAGGCCATAATACAGGTATACAAAATGTGTGTGAGAAGGCCATAATATAGGCGTGTGACGTAGGCCATAATACAGGTATATAAAATGTGTGTGAGAAGCCGGAAACGCTGTTTAGTTTAGTCAAAGAGTCTACATAACAAGAGGGGCCACTTCTCTCTTTGAGCCAATTAAAAAAGTGTCCTGAAAATTCGGTGGCGCCCTCTTCACAAAAGCGCACCTTTTGCGAACAGAGTTACCCTATTTGAGTTTAAAAAATCAAAGTGAAACTAGCAAGTTTTTGAATAAATTTCGGAAGAACGCTTTTTTAAAATGGTTACGCTGACAAAAAACCTCTTCCGGAGGAAAGGTTGATTGTTTTCTTCGTTTAATTTGACTTTAGAATGAAAGGCGAGAGGTCATAAAAAAAAAAAAACAACCTAAAACTCCACACTGAACGAACCCGAACTGCTGATGAACAGCAGTCGATCTGCGCACGCAAGGAGGTGCTATTCCTATTCTTCTTCTGGAAAAACGAAAGAGAGCTTCAAAACAGACTGCAGCGCCATCTGAAGCAAGGAGCATACTTCCTGCGGACACTTTTTTGGCTGAGTGGCCCATCTTGTTATTTACTATCTTTGGTTTAGTCTAGTGTGGTAAATAATTCGTGGCGCTCATCATTACCTTATCTTCAAAAATCTTTGTAACGGGTTTATCAATGTCAGCCATACTTTGCTTGCTCAGTAGTTTGTATCAATTTGTCTTAACTTAATTATATTTTTCCAAAATCATTGAGGCTAGATTTTAAAAAAAAATTAATATTTTTTCGTTAAATAATGCAAATCTCCTTCACGCAGAAAATGGTATTGTTCTCAGCACTTCCCGTTTCTCACACACATTTTGTGAACACATTATGGCCTACGTCACAGCTCACCAAAGACCCTTTTTTTAGCTGCACCACTAGTTACAAGAAATTGATTTCACAGTGAACACTTTTTTGCATTTAAAGTTATCAAAACATGCGTTCAATAGATATAATTGTAATCTCGCAATTAGAAACAGACGACTTAATTGCTTTTAAAAGCGATATTGTCCCAGCAGTAAACCTTTTAAAATCTGTAGAAACACAACTCGAAAGCAAGTTCTGTGCGCTTTTCACTACTAAAATAGGTTACACTGTGCAATGTAACCCCTCACATGCCTCGATGGCCCTGGCCCAAGGAGCTTAGAACTAATCTTTTAATTTCCTTGCCCTGGCCAGTAAGGTTAAAGCAGCAAATCAACACCCCCCCCCCCCCCCCCCAGGGAAAATTTAAAAAAAAATAACAAAATTTTTTTTTAGGGGGGGGAACCGCCCGGAGCCCCCCGGAGAGAAAATAAAGACAAAAAAAAAATAAGACAAGGCCATCACAGTTTATCATAGCGAGCAGGAGTACGAGTGAATATGAAGAGAAGAAAGATAGTGCGC